TTAAAATTGGATCCAGCCATATTGTGATCCTTTTAGAGCTGGATCGAGCCTTCGTAGGATTCAATTAAAGCGGGACCCAGCACATTGGCACTCTATTTGAGGTTGCTCGAGCACGAATAGGATTCTATAATGGGCAGGGGGTGGACGGTTAAAGAGGCCGGTTACCGCGGGGGGAAGCCCCAGAAACGGGACAATTTAGAACCGACTAGAACAGACTCCAATTATTTGAACATGATTTCCAACTAACCTACATGAGAAGCCGCACAGGCGTCTTACGGGCGTCTTACAGGCGTTTCTGAGAGGCGTTTTCCAGGCGTCCCTTGAAGGCGTCTTACAAGCGTCTCTGCGCGGCGTCTTACAGGCGTCTATTACAGCCGTCTTATGGACGTTTTACAGGCGTTTCTGAGAAGTGTCTTAGAGGCGTCCTGAGAGGCGGCTTAAAAGCTTTTTACGGGCGTCTTCAAGGCGTTTCGATTGGCGTTTTATTTACGTCTTTGCGAGGCGTCTTACTCGCGCTTCTGAGAGGCGTCTTCCAGGCGTCTGTACGAGATGCCTTACAGGCGTCTCTGAGAAGCGTCTTACGGGCGTCTCCGAAAGGCGTCTTACAGGCGTCTCTCAGAGGCGTTTTTGAGGCGTCTGTGTCAGAGAAGCTTGAGCAGGGCTGCGGCCCAGCTTCCCTCAAACTCCTATTCCTGGTCCTCCGTTCTGGACGCCCGCCCGCACTCGTTCGTCCTTCTCCCCGCCACCTCTCCTAGCCGACTCCTTCTCCGCTGCCATTTTGGCTGAAGCATTTGTTGGCTCGAGCCCGTTTTTTGCTCAAGCCCGTGGCTCAAGCCCGCCTCATCCCCCCCACTCCTCCTCCACCAGTGCCCCGTCCCCCACATCCGAGGGCTATCGTTTTGGACCTTGGCAGGCGGCGCCGTCGCCGAAACCCTTAAACCCGTAAGCCATTGAACACTCAGGCTTCAAGACCACAACCGGTGAAATCTTTGAACCCTCAAGCCCTTAAACCTTAAAACCATCAAACCATTGGAACCCTTGAGCCTTTCAAAACTTAAACACTTGAATCCTCAGACCTTAAACCATGACGGCCGTAACCCCTAGAGCTATTTTTAAACCCTTTAACACGTAACCCCGCCCAGACAATATTTATGCCCTTGACCATTCCACTATTAAACCTTGAAGCCCGTAAACCTCTAAGCACCCCAACCCTTCAACACTAAAGCCTTTGACCCTGAAACCATCAAGTCCTTTAAACCGTTAAGCCTTAAACACATAAATCCGTAAAGCAAGATCCCCAGACAACCGTTGTCTTGGTTGTTCGGGAATTGTATGTTGTTGCCTTGCTTGTTCTAGCAGATTCCTATCAATCAACACCGCCGGCCATATCTACATCTTGAGTTCCACATCGTCGCAAGCCGTTGTGATACAAAGTCCAAGTTGGGCAGTCATGTTAGCTTCTGAAACCCATGTGCACACACTAGCCGATCATTTGGCTAGGGGATGTATTGGCATCGCATCACACTTGCAATCATGCGGTGCGGTGACGTGGCCAGTTGGATTCGCACCAGCCTAGCTTCTCGTGCCGTTCGGAAGAAGGTAGCAGCTGGTGAGGATCAGTCCCAGCCGGATGACACTAGTCCGACATGCTGGAGCCCCCCCCCCCCAGCTCGGACGCGTCGAGGGGATGTCTTCCGAGCGCGCGTCCACGAAACGCGTCCTCCCAAAGGTCACCACAGTTCCACGGGTGTAGGGCGGGCCGTCCTCAAGATGTGCAGCTCGCCCTGGCGCCGCACACATAAGTTGGCTCTCGACTTCACGCCGCGCACAGTCGCCTGGAAAGTTCGCAGCAGTTCTAAGGATTCCCTTGGCTGAAGTTCCAGGAATGGTGCCCTGGCACGACTTCCGACCGTCAGGACGCAACAGTCCTCTTGATTCGCGGTGCTGGGATCCCAGGAACAATACCCACTATGATCCGCGGCGCTGAAGTCCCAGGAGTTGCGTGTTGGCACGGTCGGTGATTCTCAAACGGTTGTCTTCCAATGGGGCAATTCCCGCAATGAATGGAAGATTAGGGCCTTATGAAGAGGAACTTGGAACAAGGGTCTGTTGCAACATCGTTGATACGTCTTGGGTGTGCACTGGTCCTCTTCCTACTTTTTATCATCTTTCTCGTCCTCCTCCTCATCCTCTTCCTCATCTTCCTCTTCTCGCTACAATTGCTCAATGTGTTAGCTAGCGAGGGCCCCAAAAAACTATGTCTTGCAACTTAGGTGGCTCAAGCAGCGTGCTGCGACCTAGGTGATGCAATACATGTGTCGCAATGTATATGGTGCAGGGCAACGCAAAGCAATGCAAAACAATACATAGCAACGCAAAGCAATTGAAAGCAATGCAATGGGATGCAAAGCGACGCAAAGCTATGCAAAGCTTGCATGCGAACGGGAAGGGGTGCAACGGGAAGGGGGGGTGCAGCAAAGCGGATCAGGGCCGTTGGGCCGACAGACAGGCCCAGTTCTGTAGAAGACAAGTAAGAAGCCTTAAGTGCAAGCATTGCTTAGGGAAGAAGGAGAGGAGGAATGCAAAGCAATGCCATGCAATGCAGAGCAACGCAAAGCAATGTGAACCAAACCAATGCGAAGCAGTGCAAAGCAACGCAATGCGATACAAGCAGTTATAAAGCAAGACAAAGTAACGCAAAGCAACAACATTCAATGCGAAGCAATGCAAAGCAGTACAAAGCAACGCGAATCAATTCTACGCAATGCAATGCGAAGCAATGCAAAGCAATGCAAAGCAACACAAAGCATTGCCAATCGATGCAAAGCAATGCATGCGGACGGCGGCGACGGACGGCGACAAGCTGGCCAGACCGCCAGCCAGGCCCAGTTCACTAGAAGACAATAAGAACCCCTGAGTGCAAGCACTATTCGGTGAACAAATACTACTCCCCAGATATTGTCCAGGCGGGACCTTTTTTTCCAGCGCAGAGGATTTCACAATGTAAGTCTGAATATTATTGGGCTTACGTCGCACCGCCGATCCCTTGAGGGGCTCCTGGTAGGTCTGTTGGGGGCCTCCTGGCAGCACTTTTGAGGCCTTTGAGGGGCCGTTTTAAGGCCTCTTGGGGCCTCTTTTGGGCCTCTTGGTGGGCCTCTTGGAGCCTCTTGGGGGCTTCTTGGGGACTTCTTGGGGCCTCCTGGAGCCTTCGGAAGGCCGAGGGCTCGAAATTTCCGTTCGGGTCCCCCGCCTGGGCCCCCCACTGGAGCCGTCTTGGGGGCCTCTTGGGACGTCTTGGGCCCTCTTGGGCCGTCTTGGACCCTTCTTTGGGGCTTCCTGGGCCGTCTTGGGGCGATCTTGGAGGCCTCTTGGGCCGTCTTGGACGTTTTTGGCTAAAATCATACGTTTCCCTTAAGGAATGGGACGACTTTTGCTTCTGGGCGCCCGCTTGGGACGCCTCTTGGGGACCTCTTGGGGCGTCTCGGGGGCCTCTTGGGCCGTCGGGGGGCCATCTTGGGCGTCTTGGAACGATCCATCGGCGACTCGGGGCCCTCTTGGACCATCTTGTGGGCCTCTTGGGGGCCCTCATGGCCCGTCGTGAGGCCCGTGGCGCGTTCAGCTGGGGCCGGCCGGACCCACCCACCCCTCCAAACCGACCGGACCGGGCCCCGGGGTGAGGGGTTTGGGGAGGGGGAAGCATCTCACACGCCGATGACCCCAAGGTGTCGGCGGATTATTTGTTCGATCGCAACGTTTCCAGTGTTTCAAAATGGTGTATCGTTGCAGGGTTCGCTTCGTTTTGCGATCGACGTTGTGCCTCTGTCGTTCCAAATGGCGCTCCCGCCAAGGCTCGGGCCACAATTCTGGATCCGAGTTCTTCATCGTCGTTGTCACCCCGCTCCTCTCCCTTTCTTAGCCTTCCACTGGCCCTCCTGCTCATCCCGCTCCTCCTACTCCCGGTCCTGGTGCTGTTTCTCTTCGTCTTCCTCCTCCACCATCCTCGTCATCTGCCTCCTGCTTATCCTCTCGCGCATCTACCACCTACTCCCCCAATGTGCACAGCTCTCTTTTTCCAACTGCGCATAAGACGATGGTCGTCCTTCGGGTCTGCTACGACACCCGCCGGCGGATGGAGAGAAATTCTGCGTAGTTGGAAAAGGATGGGTGGGAGCGGTAGGATGTCAGATATGGCGCTGGCGCGCCTAGTTTGCCACCTCATCTCTCTCTCTCTCTCTCTATCGCTCGCTCTCTCTCTCTCTCTCTCTCTTCTCCTCCTGTCTCCTCCTCCTCCTCCTTTCCCTCTTTCTCCTCACCTCTCCTCCTCTCTCCTCCCCTCTCCTCCTCCTTTCCCTCTTCCTCTCCAGAGGGATTCGACGTTCGAGGATCGTTGGCGTGCACCAAGCCTTGCGCTCACCCTGCCCGAGGCCCATCGCTGGACCCTGGGATCCGGGATCCGGGCGGAGCCAGAAGGCTGTGACGGCCAGCCTTGGAAATTCGAAGCTCGAGGTGTTCGGAAGTCTTCGCCAGATCCCCGAGGATGCTTCAGCAGCTGCGCCTCGCCGAGAACGCGCCGGAGCTGCCTGGAGGCCCGAGTTGTGGACCCTGAATCCCTTCTTCCCTGCCCCAGGGCTGTCAAAAAATGATGTGGAAGAAAAATCGGCCCCAGGGAAGGGGTCGAGTTTATTGGGGGCCCATGCCGCGAAAAAAAAAACGCGACGTCGGAGGAGAGGAATCGAGTCCTGAGGGAAGCGGGTCCTGGATCCTTGGGCCTCCCCCTGAGACCAGCTTTCCGTCCTGAGTCCTGAGTCGTTTTCT